CATTGTTTTCCATTCAATGCAAAGAGATACTATTTCTCAATGAGAATGAGAAGAAAGTATAGGAACTAATAATCCCAGTTACCGTTTAACATAGACAAAAGACAGCATAAAGTTTTGCGTTATTCCTCCTTTTTGATACATCCGTTTCCTTTGGAGAGGTTGTCAACTTCGCCTCCCCCCAAAAAGGAATAAGTATGGAATTAAGAAAACGTATGTCATTGTCATAGCTAGAAATTCGCTCGTTCGTTCGCTTTCGCTAATGATTTACTGCAATAGTTTGAGCTATGTTTCCGTAAATTACTGGAAGAAGGGGTCTAAGGCGGAGTAGAAAGGAGGTAGGGAACGATAAGCAAAGCAATTTTTTAGCATCATCGGTCGTTCACTTGGTCTTAATCAATTCGTACATCCAATACTTCATTTCGTTTCACTACACAACACAACTTTGTTCTTTTCATAGTTCATTTGAAATTTTGGATTTGTTCACATGTCGCTGTTGATTTTGACAAATGTTTTTCTCTACTTGTTGTTGTTTGTTTGTGTATGAGTGTGTGATTTAGCGCTTTCTGCATTTCTCCATCGCCAAAAAATTTAATTTATTGCACTTGCTGTTGTCATTTTAGAGCGAGTTTTTAAGGATACTTTGTTGTAATTGGCATTCATTGAAGGACTTGAAGTAGTTAATTGGCAAGGATGGTATAGCTGTTGTTTAAGCCACTCATCCGTGGATGCTGTCTCAATAAATTCAATTGCGATGACAAATTGCTTTGAATCCCACACTCAAATCAATAATATTCACAGAGACTATGGTCATGTGAAATGTCTTAAATCATGTATGCATATGATAATAGTAGGCGTTTGTGGAAATCGTGCAATACTTCCAACATTTGCATTGAACCAAATTAAAATGTTGGCAGGACAACCTTTTTCAGAGGGATACTGGTCTAGAACGCAATATAAGGAATAATTTACTTTGGTACTATTTATAATCTGAAATCTAAAGAATATTATAAAAGTAAAAGAATATTCCGGCCAAGATATTAACATTCCTATTTGTATGGGGCTATATATGGTTGCGAGTTTTCGTTTGATGGAAAAAGTCAGAAGAATATGCCATCGTATATGGTAGGTTTTCTAATATTAGGTTGGGGAAAAAGAAACCCATTTCTTAAACGAATGATGACTGGAGATGAGAAATGGATCACATACAATAGCCCTGTACGAAAACGATCGTGGTCAAAGAGCGGTTAAACACCTCAAACGGGGACCAAACCAGGACTACCTGCCAGGAAGGTTCTCCTATGGATTTGGTCAACAACTGGACCGATTGAAGATATAAATTGACCAGAAACGGCCAGAATTGGCCAACAGGAGAGGTGTCGTGTTCCACCAGGTCAATGCTAGGTAACACACAACAACACAGCAAGTTTTAATGCGTCCGCCCTATAGTCCGGACAAGCCATTATCATCTTTTTCTTTCATTTCAAAATTTTTTTATTAATGATAAAATTTGGTATCTAGGGAGGATTGTCAAAACCGACTACTAGAGTTTTTTACAAATGGAGAACAAGACTAAGAGAGAGGCACTATGATGTTACCTTTTAAATTGCAACAAATCATACAAAAAAACGGTACATATTTGGCCCAAATCGGACATTCCGAAGCATGTTAAATAAATTCCTATAGTTCATATAAAAATAATGGATTTCTTTTTCCCCAACCTAATATTTTCAGTGGTCTACATTTGTATACCCTTCACCAAACTTTGGTACAGGGTATTCTGTCTTTGTGCATATGTTTGTGATATGGAATCGTTCCTTTTGAGAATATGCATAGAATCACTTACTAAGTATATTTTTGCATGTCCGTCTGTTCATTCGTCGGTCCATGTATTTTTGTGAGCCAAGTACAGGTTGCATTTATTATCCGATTTTGATGAAATTTGTGACAGGTCACTTATTTGGCTCAATTTAAATTTAAGTCGATACACGAAGTATAAGATTTCAAAATCTTAATTGGCTATTACTAAGACCATAGAATTGCGTGTTCTGAGACAATATCGGAAATCATAGATAGTCCATAAGGAAAATTATTTAAAAAATCTTCGCCTATCAGTCAAATAGTACATGAAAAACATATTTTGCATATCCACGTCTATAAATCAGATAGTCCCTGATACAAATTATTTAAAAAAATTCTTGCCCATAAGTTAGATAGTCCATGGGAAAAAATATTTTACAAATCCACATCCGTAAGTCAGATTGTCTTTGAAAAAAAAAATCTAAAAATTCACGTTAATAGATCAAGTAGTACTGGCGAAAAAATTACTTAAAAAATCCACGCCTATAGATAAAGTCCTTGAGAAAAATTATAAAAAGTCAACCATATCGTTTAACAATCCTCGAAAAAATCCACGCCTATAGGTCAGATAGTTCATGAGATTTTTTTATAAAATGTATGTCTGTACATCACGTAGTAGGCGAGAAAATGTATTTTAAATATCTACGCCCGTTGTTAAAGTAGCGCTTTAGAAAACTTAATAAAAATTCCACGCAGGCAGTCCTAGAGAAAAATTCTTTTAAAGATCCACACCTATGCCATGTGTTCAGATGAAAAATTATTTTCAATATCGGCTCCCAAAAGACCAAACTGTTGTTGAGAAAAAAATATTGTCTACATCTACACCGAAAGTTCCACATAGTCCTCAATATTTGCTTAAATTTCTTTGTCCTTAAGAAAAACATGAAAGTGAGCAAATAGAGATGTATGTACAGGAGTCAGAATGAAATCCGCAAATTTTACCAACGAGTAAAACACCAAACCGAAGACTTTGGTGCAGGCATATCCTCCTGTAGAGATGAAGATGGAAACCTGGTGACAGATCCAGATAACGTGTTGAGGATCTGGAAGGAGCATTTTGAAAAGCTTCTAGTATCAAATAGTAGCGGCGAAGAAGAAAATACCCCTGAACCAATAAGAGATGACGTTATACACCTAGTATACACCTAGCCAAAATGAGATCAGAGTAGCAATTAATAGCTGAAGAGTAATAAAGCAGCAGGAGCCAATTTGTTACCAGGTGAATTATTCAAGACAGATGGTCAGATGCTGGTCTGGAGCATGCACCAGCTGATTAGTACAATTTGGCTAGAGGAATGCATGCCCAATGATTGGAACCTCAGCCATATGTGCCTACTATAGATGAATTGGCCCTCTTCCCATCGCATGTAAAGTGTGCTGTGTTATCCAGTGTGCTGTGTGAACGACTGAAACCAATGGTCAATGACATTAATGGACCATACCAATGCGGCTTCAGAACTGACAAATCCACCATTGACCAGATTTTCACTCTGCGCCAAATCCTGGAAAAGACCCACGACTATAAAGCCGCATTCGACAGCCCTATTCGTTTAGAGGTGTTTAAAGCCATGTCTACGTTCAGCATTCCTGTAAAATTAATACGGCTATGCACGATAACTTTAAGTGGAACAAGGTCAGAATCTTGTGTCCCGTGCACAAAAAAGGAGACAAGACGCATATAAAGTGCTATCCAGCGTGCTGTGTGAACGACTGAAGCCAATGGTCAATGACATTATCGAACCATACCAATGCGGCTTCAGACAAGCCAAATTCATGACAGACTAGATTTTCACACTGCGCGAAATCCTCGAGAAAACCGACGAATCGACACATTCCACTTATTCATCGACTTTAAAGCCACATTCGACAGTCCAATCCGCTCAGAGGTGTTTAAAACCATGTCTGCGTTCGGCATTCCTGCAAAATGTGAGAGTTTGTCGTATGACCTGTTTAACATCCTGCTGGAAAAGGTCATACGAGATGAAAATGTGAAGAGAAATGATACTCCTTGCACCAAACTGCAAATGTTACTCGCCAACGCCGATGACATCGACATAATGGATCGAACATTGCGAGCCACCTTTAAACGAATTGAGATGGAGTCTGCCAAAGTGGAACTGACAGTAAATGGCGAGAAAACCAAGCTAGGAACTTGACCAACTGAGGAACTTGAAAACTACAGCTTCGAGGTAGTGAACGATTTTATTATATACCTCGGTACCGCGATAAAGAAAACTAATAACATCAACTTTGGAATTCGTAGAAGGATAGTGTTGGCCAATATATGCTACTATGGTCAGAATAAGCAACTCAAAAACAAGGCCACATCTTGCCAGATCAAACTTACACTCTACAAGACGCTGATACTACCCGTGATGTTGTATGGATCTGAAGCATGGGTACTTGCACAAGGAGATGAGGCAGTTTTTGGAATGTTTTAAAGAAATATTCTCGTCGTCGAATGAACCATGAGATATACCATCTTCTCTTCTCGGACATCGACATAGTTAGATGGATTAAGTTGCAGCGACTACGTTGGCTAGATCACGTTGTGAGAATGGATGAGAATTCCCCCACTCAAAAGGCGTATAAAGGAGAGCCAAGTGATGGTTCACGCAGACCACTCGGAACATTGTCTTTCAAATTGGAAAAACTGGGCAAAAGAACGGCGCGCTTGGAACATTTTTTAAGCTCAGCTTTTTGAACAACCGTTCTGTCTCCAGCCAGCTAAGTAAGATATTCCTTATTAAAACATAAAAGTTTACAATTGACAATTACTTAGCATTTTTTAATACATATTTTTCCACTCTTTCGCTCCGTCGCTGTTGTTCATAATTTTTTCCATTAATCGGATAACGAACCTATTTTTAGAAGAGGAAATGTAAATAACATATTTCCTATATAAAACAATTTTTGTTATTAAAAATTGAATAATTTTCCCTCATAATATAGTAAAATATAAACAAACGAACACAATGTTTTGTGGTCGGCATTTATATTTGATGATAACCCTTGACGACCTTCGAGAGATTTGGGAGATGGAATACTATTTGGGTTAGTAGATATTTTTTGTTTAGTTTTTGTTGAAGTGACATAGCCGACGGTATTTAAAATAAAAACAAATATTAAAAAAATATGAAATAATGGAAACCAAAAAAATTAATACAATTGTCTCCTGGTGGGCAATATTGTTTTCCATGCTTGGAGCTCAAGGATCGTCATTCAATGACTCAGAGAAATCCATACGTTCTGCAAAATCGAAGGAGATACAAACATATATAAATGAAAATGTGGATCCATGTACGGATTTCTATGAGTTTGCTTGTGGTAATTGGAAAACATTAAATCGAGCTAATGAAACGGAGCCGAGGACAAGCTTTTTCCTGAATGTTAATAAGGAATTTGAAAATAAATTGAAGGGAATTTTGGACAACAGTAATGAAGAGGACTTCAATGAAAATGAAAAGAAAGTGCAACAGTTTCACAAATCGTGCTTGCAAAGGGAGCGGGAGCAAGCTGAGGAATCCTATAGGAACCAATTGAAGGAAATTATAAATGAATTTGGAAAAATGCCGGTACTGGAAGGAGGGGAATGGAATCAGGACGAGTTCAATTGGTTGGAAACTATTTCGAACATTTCTTATAAATATGGCATCAATATTATTTTTGGCTATGAGATAATACGAAATCCAAAAAATGTTTCCATTAACACTTTGGTGCTGCAACATCAAAAGTTTGAGTTTCCATTGGCATTATATGGAACAGATGCCCTGGAGAATTTGTGGAGGAAATATCACACAAAGGTCTCTGAAAATTTAAAGAAATATTTTAATTTCGATCAGAACTTAGCCGATGTAACAGCTAAAGAAATTCTAAATTTTGAAGCCGAGCTAGCCAAAGGAGGAGCCAACAATCGTTATGGACCCGACGAATATTGGAGTGAAACAACTATAAATAAATTGCATCGAAAATATATGCCCGATTTGGATATGAAGCAATATTTTCAAATGGCATTTGGTTCGATACCCGAAGAGGTTATTATTGAAAGAAATGAGGCATATCAATATAATTTGGTGGAAGTCATAAAACGTACACCTAAAAGGATAATTGCAAATTATATTTTTTATAATCTTGTAAATCATTATGGAACCAAGGACTCAGATTGCATTGGAGAGACTCGAAAACATTTTCGCAATCTCTTGGAAAATTTGTGGTATAAACGCAACGATTTAGAGGAAATTGAAAAATCGGTGTATAATATGTTCGAAGACCTATTATCGGTGTTTAATCGCACCCTAATATCCAAGAAATTCAAATGGGTAAATCCTCGTGTACGCCGCTATACCATTGAAAAATTAAATGTTTTGGCCATTAATATTTACAATTATGAGAATGTAAATTTCACCCAGGAATATGGAGAATTGAAAATTAAACCCACCGACTATTTTGAAAATTTGAAAAATATTTACACCATCCAAAGTCGTAAAAATCGTGAAAAATTTAATCAACTCTCCTCACCTTACTATGATCCTGCCAACATGCCTCTGGGACCCAAATACATACGCCAAGAAAATCGCATACTCATACCCCTGGCCGTGCTGCAACCTCACCTCTTCCGTTCAACAATCTATCCATTAGCAGTAAATTTTGGCCAATTGGGTTTCCATATGGCCCATGCCATTGTACATGCCTTCGATGATGAATCACGTTATGCAGATAAATATGGCAATGAGGTGGATTGGTGGGATCATCGTTCGAAAGTATTTTTCAATGATCGCACGGAATGTTTTCGCCAACAATATCAGCGATACACCTATGCTGATCATCCCTGGCCAGATAGTGTTGTACAATCGGAAAATATTGCCGATAATGGTGGAATACGGTTAGCCTATCAATCCTATAAGACATGGTATGAGTACACATTTCGTCCGCAGAATAATTTGGATCAGGAACAGCTGCCAGATTTAAAATATAAAAATAAGAAATTATTCTTCATTTCCTATGCACAAACTCTATGTGCGGATATTCATTCTGATTATGCTGCTATTGTTTTGGATGCCGAATATAATCCACCAGAGAGTGTGCGAGTACGCGGAGCACTGTCAAATCTTGAAGAATTTTCTCAAGTTTTTAGGTGTCCTCGTGGTAGTCCGATGAATCCTGAGGATAAATGTAAACTTTATTGATCGAATAAGAGAATGTTGTATTGAATTCTTTTTGTTTTTTAATAAAAGAAGAACTAAGCAAAACTAAGCATTACAAAAATTAATTTTATAAAATGAATTACATTTGAATAGTGAGTAACCTTGTGGTTCTGTTGTGGTTTTGACTCAAAATTCAGTTTTTGTGTGATGTCTGATATTCCGTTAGCTACCTGATTGGATAATATTTACACAAACCATGACGTTATTTGTATACCCTACATAACTATGTTGTAAGGGTATTATAGCTTTGTGTGTCCCAGAAGCTTGTAACGCAGCTAAATATTGTTCCTAGACCCACCTTTTAGTATACCGATCGTCATATCTCGACTAGCTGAGTCGATCTAGCCGAGTATCCGTCGGTCTGTCCATTAAAATTTGTAAACACTAAAAAGGCCACATTTACGGACCAATCATCTCGAAACACCGCTTCTGACCAAATAAGACCCCTATTTTTTGGTAACGATCCGTATAATTTAGGGGATGTAATGGACCTAAAACTTTACTTTTATCTGTTTTTCTGATCCCTCCAGAGACCACAATTATGAATCGATCATCACAAATGTTTAAACAGAGAAAGGGGTTTGACTACGGAATAAGCATAATAATACTTTTGTGTAAAAAATTACAACATTTGTATTCTATGGCATACATATTTACTCCTGAAGGACATATACCCAAGAAGTTGATAGTATATCCGAGAGGATAATTGATACCAATTATGTTGTTGTATGTATTCAGAGTTATACTAAGATAATTACAGGTGTCTACGTATTTCCATTACTACATCAGAAGGCGAAAATATCGGGCGGATCGTGATAGTGACATTATACATGAGGTTAGTGAAATTATACATGATGTTCCGGCTATGTTCAAGGGCGATTCATACAAATTTTGGTTATGATCAGATTATATGTAGAATATGGAATGAACAAAAATCTTTTTCTGTATGGTTTCCCAGTCGCTCTAGAGACCACCAAAAATTATGTCAAAGACCATTGTAAGCCGAACACACAAAATTAACAAGGGAAAGGATCTGGCCAACCAAGACTTTGAGTCATGAGCTCTTAACCTCTAATCGCAAACTATCGCCTAAGCACGTAATATAGATCTGCAAGGAAATAGAGTTCGGTGATAGTTGTGTGGGGTATCATATGGTAGGCCCCGATCCGTCATATAAAGTTTAAGTCTGTATGGAGTAAAATGTTGAACTTCCTACAAATATCGCACTACGAGTACAATAGAAACCAGTAACGAAAGTAGTGAAGTCGGACTGGGCCGACAATATGATACCCTTCACCACTTTGGGTATATTCTACATATGTATCCTAATATGAAATTGAACGAACTTAAGGGGACCCCCCCCCCCCCATTCTCGGGGTCAAAAATTTTTTTGATTTAATTCGAATCTACCCTAATTCAAGAATGTCCCTACAAATTTTCAACTGAAAATCTCAAGAACTCTTGAAGATATAGCCGATTTATTGTGTCAGCATCAAGTGACGGCTAAAGGGCTTCTCAAACTTTAAACGCGTTTTTCTCTTTTGCGAATGGCGGGCACGATAACTCAAAAACTAATAACCCAATCGATTCCAAATTTTTACACGTTTCTCTGTGAGTGTATAGCTATCGTATGAACTAGGATAAAGCCAATCGGTGAAGATCTTCCTTATTTTTTAACTTGGTTTTTGGTAAAAAATCGGCGATTTTCCAAAAATATTTTTTCAAAGGTCCGCCATTTTGTTAATTTTAGAGCGAAGTCAATAATCCTAGTTCATACGAGAGCCAGACATGTACTCTTTCTAACACCGTTGGAATTTTCGGATTCCGATGTTCCAGTGAGGAGTTATCATGCCCGCCATCAAAAATAAGGACTTTTCTTTAATCACAAAAAACAACAACAAAACAACAACAAAAATTTTTTGTAAATTATTTTTCTTCTTTTTTAAATCTTCAAATATATATGTGCAAAGTTACAAACATTAACAAGCATTGGTATTCATTTACCAGCCCATTTAAAATCTTAAAAATAACAAATTGAGAATGGGGGGGTTCCCTTAAATATGTGAATTCTATCTATAAATGAACCGATTATCAATCCATACACATGTCTTTCTGCAACCTATACCAAATTTCATTTCATTCGGCAGAGTTAGAGTCGTTTGCGTAGAATGGAACTAATCGATTTAAATCATACTTGATACACGCAATTCGGTATGCCACACTGTTCAAAATTTAATCTGCACCACTTTCCACAAAACGTAATAACGCCATTCTAGTCTCAATTCGATACTTTGTGAAAAAGTTCGTGTCAATCTGACAAACGATTTTCACGAAACTAGACTCATTTCAGTAGACTTTGCCAAATTTCGTACAAATCAGAAATATGTGGGGAATTTACATTGAATCGGACAAAAAATTTATATGGGAACAGTATCTAAATCTCGCATAATTCAGTATGCTAGACCAAAATTCGTACAATATAGGGACTTTGGTGTACCATTTATATTAAATCGGACGAAAGGGAGGATAATTGATTATCCTGCATTCACTCTTACCAGGTCTTTGATACCAGAATGTTCCGAAAATAGCTCGGACTCGTCCGACAGAAATACAGATAGTCCTTGCTAGGTTGACAATGTATTACAACGGAACAAAAGGAGACAAAGTCCAACAGACATTGTAAGGGCCTTTGTTACACAAACTTGTAGTCAGATAAAGCAGCAGGAATGTTTTAACAGCTTTGAAATCTCAGCCCCATTTCAGTCGGGAATCCACACGTCTATCTACAAGAAAGCTGCTTGGTTAAAGGAACGCATGAAGAAGTGCAGCACTCATTTCAACGGTAGACACATTGATAAATTTGAGTATAAGGTCGTGATCCTTAAGAAAAATGCTATTGACTTGAATTCGACTCCTTTCAAATTGCAAGATGTGAAAGGTCAAACAATCGTTGAAGGTGTCCAAAAAGTGTTAGATGAGTAATATCTATTATAATAAATACTGATGCTTATTGCTAATACGACAATCGTGAATACCGACTAAAAGACGAGTGTTGTATTTTGACTGCACAAAATATTCGAAGAGAAAGGTTAATCCATTCCAAGTTCATTAGGTGCGGTATCGTGTTCTTTGCGGATGTGCAAGACTTAGACAATTCCCGCTTGAGATTTACAAATTTTCAAAATTTTGAGCCTTGTTGGTGAGGTACTCAAAGAAGTGGACCAATTAGTCCCATCTCCCAACAATCTACAGGCATGATTAACATTTTAGGTTATGCAAAGTTTATTTTGAATCTGATGATGATCCCATTCTATTATAAAATGCATTTTCAGATAAATTTTTACCATTTTGTGGGGGAGGTACCAAAAGGAGTGGACTGATTTTCCATCTTCGGATATAACTTTTCAAGAAATTTTAATATGTGCACGACTTGGATCACATCTGACCCATTGTGAGGGAGGTACGAGAAATAGTGGACCAATGGGTTGCCGTCATGCTCACGGTTTGGTAGAGGTAATTGGAGGTACCAGAAGGAATAAAGAAATAATTTCTTTATGAAGAAATAGCCAGTAATATGATTTTACTATGCATTTGCAATATATGTATACACATTTACTCTTGTGATTAACAGCCCTGAAAATTTCGTAAAAATTCCCTTTATAACTGGCAAACAGTTGATCAAATAACCACCTATTTTGTGACCCTCGATTTACCTCCTGTTCAATATTCCTCCGAAATAAAGCTTTAAAATGTATTTTAAAGTCATTAATAAATTTTGGAAATTCTTTCCAAACACTTGCCCTTGGGAAAAAAAATATTCATTCCATCGCGAAGAAACCCGTCTTCCACATGTTCTCGTCTGGCGTCGTCTGAAGTTATTGTTTATCTCTCTAGCGAACAACCCAACAAAAATATCTTAAGTTGCTTAATTCGAATGTGTACGACCAACCAAGGCGAGCAACTTGGTTCATTACGGTATGACAGTCTTAAATCATTCATCAAGCAAATGTGAAAGGAAGCTTCTCTACACGGGTTGGCTGCACCCCACCAATCCGCCTTACACATACACTTCTTTAAAATGTCGGCTAAACTTAATGACAGACAGACATTAGCGGGGATGCTATAGAACACACATGAGAAGCAACGTTCCCCGATGATGTCATCTTCAACACACAATGGAGAACACAAAATGGTGCGTATTTAAAAACCATTAACATCTGGTAAGATTAACTCTTCAATCCATTCCAACGCAACAACAACGACAACAATAATGAAGTATTAAATATTCGGTAGAAAGAATTTAAGCCAATTCATTTCGATTCGTTGCTGAATGGTGTTTTTGTTTCTGGGAGAGAGAATGAGAAATGCATGACAAGCATTGCACAATGGGCTGAATTTCTAAATGAATATATTTTCACTGCCTAAGATTTTTCCAAGGCGTGGATTTTGTAAAGAATATTTTTTGAAGGCCTATAAAAGGCGTGGATTTTGTAAGGAATATTTTTCAAGGCCTATATGAGGCGTGGATTTTTAAAGAATATTTTTTCAAGGCCTATATAAGGCGTGGATTTTTTAAAGAATATTTTTTCAAGGCCTATATAAGGCGTGGATTTTTAAAGAATATTTTTTCAAGGCCTATATGAGGCGTGGATTTTTAAAGAATATTTTTTCAAGGCCTTTATAAGGCGTGGATTTTTAAAGAATATTTTTTCAAGGCCTATATAAGGCGTGGATTTTTAAAGAATATTTTTTCAAGGCCTATATGAGGCGTGGATTTTTAAAGATTATTTTTTTTTTTTTTGTGAACGCCTCTAAGAGGCGTGAATATTGTAAAGAATATTTTTTCAAGGCCTGTATGAGGCGTGCATTTTGTAAAGAATTTTTTTTTTTTTTTTTTGTGAACGCCTCTAAGAGGCGTGAATATTGTAAAGAATATTTTTTCAAGGCCTATATGAGGCGTGGATTTTG